ATTAGCAAAATTGCAACTCATTAGCAAAACTCCTAACACCTCTGCTTACATATATCTACATGATATGAAGGTAATGCATTAGTGTTTCTTCACTTCCACTGTCATTCGCCTTAATAAAGGGGAATGGTATATAAGACTTAATTTATTGCCATTGGTAAAGATAGCGTTCTTTTGGTTTGAAGAAATGCCACTGTAGTTATTTTTTCAAAACTATACAGATACTTCAGAAAAACTTTGGCATCTAGAATCTAACCACCGACAGCAATAAAGCATTCAGAACAAAATCACTCCCTTCAGAGTTCTGTCAGTCTCTATGTTAAGTAATCACTGAGAAACAATCTCAATCCAGTTTCCAGACATGCCAATGATGAAGCTTCAGATGAATTGATATTCACTAAAATACTGAGGTGGAATCATAGCACTAATACAAAGCACAGCTACTGAAGGGACCACTTCACAAAATACGGTGCGTATACAATAGGGATCTCCATTATCATTCAGGGCACAAAGCACTGCTGCTGTAAACATCTTGCCTAAAATGACAATCCCAAGTAGTTCACACACTGTAAAGGAAGGTAAGGACAAAAATAGAACAGAAGTCCAAATTCTAGAATTTCATCCATTTGTACGTCATGTTTAAGCTTATCATAATGCATGATTACATAATATATGTCTGAAAGGCACATGCACACACAAATTAATAAAGAACATTTGCTACTCCTTTGAAACTATACACACATGCCCCATACAGTAGAAGCCATAACAGGAAGATTATGACAGTCATCCACCTAGGCAAATGAACAGAAGCTAGCTATTCAAATATAATTTCCAGAATTTGCTCAAAGCTTCCTCTAGTCCAAAGGTCTATTTATAGCTACCCAGACTCTTGTTGGTTTCCCATGCCCCTTCTTCCTCCCAGAGTCAATATAAATGAAGTTCAAATGATGGGTGTTTATCCCGGACTCTGCACGGCCAAACTGGTAAGAAGCTCTGCAGCTGCGGTCACTCAGATCGCCACAAACCAGCTCAGAAAGGTGAAAGGAGGAAAGAGGAGGGATTCTGCTAAAGCAGGAACAACATAACCAGATTACAACCACCTCGAGCTGCACCACGGGCCAAACACGATTATCTTATATTGGTGTGGCGTCAGAGCAGGCGTTAGAGGATGCCCGCCCCTCCTGCTGTCAGCAGCAAAGCAGCAAGCTACCACAACTAATTGGCTCAAAGCCAGCCCAAAAACAAAAATAAAAAATTCCCTGCTCCATTCACAGTTGACCTTACAGTCAAGAACAAGAGGATGCCCTCACCGATTCACGTTTTATGTTTTAAGAGTACATCAGTACTGTAGAATGAATCTGTAGGGGGTGCTTGATTGTGCTTTTCCTGCATGGCAGGGCATTGTGATCTCTTAACAGATTACAGAGATGGGCCAAAACTAACAGAATGAAGTTCAACAGAGACAAAGGCAAGATATTCCACTTAGGCAGAAAAAATGAAATGCAAAGACACAGAATGGAAAGCATTACTTGTGAAAAAGATCTTGGAGTCCTTGTGGACAACATGATAAACATGCACCAACAGTATTGTGTGGCAGCTAAAAAAGCCAATGGGATTTTGGCTTGCATAAATAGGAGTATAGTGTCTAGATCCAGGGAAGTCACGCTACTCCTCTATTCTGCCTTGGTCACACCACACCTGGAATACTGTGTCCAATTCTGGGCACCGCAATTGAAGGGAGATGTTGACAAGCTGGAATGTGCCCAAAGAAGGGTGACTAAGGACTTCATCACGCTAGAGAAGGAATCCAGTTTAAATCTGGTTGCTGCCTCCTGAAGAATTCTGGGGTTTGTAGTTAAAGGAGGAGCCTTTAACAGCCTCACTAAACTACAAACCTGCAGGAGACAGAAACTGGATTTAAAGAGAATTTAGTCTCTATTGTGATCAGTGGTAGTAAAATGATCAAGGGTCTGGAGAACAAACTCTATGAGGAGCGGCTTAAAGAGCTGGATATGTTTAGCCTACAGAAGAGAAGGCTGAGAGGAGATATGATGACCATGTATAAATATGTGAGGGGAAGTCATAGGGAGGAGGGAACAAGCCTGTTTTCCGATGCCCTGGAGACTAGGACGCCGAGCAATGGCTTCAAACTACAGGAAAGGAAATTCCACCTGAACATGAGGAAGAACTTTCTGAATGTGAGAGCTGTTCAGCAGTGGAACTTCGCCCCGGAGTGTAGTGAACGCTCCTACTTTGGAGTCTTTTAAGCAGAAGCTAGATGGCCATCTGTCAAGGGTGCTTTGATTGCGATTTTCCTGCTTCTTGGACTGGGGTTGGACTGGATGGCCCATGAGGTCTCTTCTAACTCTATGATTCTATGAATGCAGTTGGCCACAAATTTAAGTGGCGCAATGCTACGGAAGCCTGGGAGATCTAGTTTTACAACTTCTCTAGCCTTTTCTGCCAAAGAGTGTTGGTGCCTTACCAAACTATAATGCTCCTTAGCTGTGAGCCATGGCAATTAAAGTGGAACCAAACTGCATTAATAGTGTAGAGCAGGCATGGGCAAGCTTGGGCCCTCAAGGTGCTTATGCGGCTGAGGGGGAAAAGGAAAGGGCCTGAGGCTGTTAGGAATGGTGGGAGTTGAAGTCCAAAACACTTCGAGGACCCAAGTTTGCCTATGCCTGGAATAGATACACTCAAAGTCAACTATCTTGATTGTTCTGGTGTGGGAGGCACCTAAGAGTTGAAATCAATTCAAAAGAAGATGCAAAGGTAATGAAAAAGCAGGAACCTAATGATATTTTTTTCACCCTGATAGCAATACACCCACGGTAGAAGAATTACTACGTCTCTACTTGCATTTGACAATGGCAACATTTACCTACCTTCTTTCCTTCCTTCGGCAAGATCTCCCCTTTTTCCCCCTGCGGCCAATCCACGCACGCCTCCTGCCTCCCGCCCCACCAACACCAAATCCAGCAGGGTGACAGCACCGCCTTACAACCCACCCACCTCTGCCACTCTCTTTTTTTCTCTCTCTCCACCCTTCTGCTCAATGCGGATTGCAGCTGTTGGCAAAAAAATAAAAGAGCACCCAAAATATTAATAAGAACTACAAACGAACAAGAGACAAGACGTGCCTTTCATCCGGGAATAAATATAGAGAAGCAAATGATCCTTGGGGGGAGAGAAGATAGAGCAATGATCCCAGAGGGAAAAGGGAAATGCAGAGCAATGACAGGGGGGCAATTTGCAGGAGGGAGGGAGGGGGAGGGAGGGGGAGGGAAGGATAATCCTGCAGAAGGCGGGGAGATAATCCAGGGCGGAGGCGAAGATTATCTCCCCTCCCTGCTTCCCACAAGTACCTTCCCCTCCCTGTTGGAGATAACCCAGAAGTAACCAGAAGGGAGAGAGAGAAAAAAAGGGGAGGAGAAGTTGAGAGCGGGAAAATCCTCCCTCCCCAAAAGATAAGCCATCCCAGTCACAGATAGGGTCAGGTAGGGGAGACACCATTCGTCCCTTTAAATGGGGGAGAGAAAGGCGAGGTGACCAATGAGGGGGTGTGGAGAGAAAAGTTGGGAGCAGATAAATCTCCCAATTAAACCACAGGTCAGAGAGGGTTGAAACCAAATTCTCCCCCTTAATAGGGGGGAGGGAGAAGTAACTAAGGCCCCTTACAGACAGCTGAAAAAAAAATCCCACATTTTCCACTTTGAACTGGAATATATGGCAGTGTGGACTCAGATATCCCAGTTCAAAGCAGATAATTGTGAGATTTCCTGCCTTGATATTCTGGGTTATATGGCTGTGTGGAAGGGCCCAAAGAGGGAAAGAATGAAAGAAGTTGGAAGATGGAAGTCTCCCTCCCAAACAGGTCAGCAAGGGTTGAAACTCAGGGCCCTTCCACACAGCCCTATATCCCAGAATATAAAGGCAGAAAATCCCACAATATCTGCTTTGAACTGGATTATTTGAATCCACACTCAGATAATGTGTTATTTTCTGCCTTGATATACTGGGATATAGGGCTGAGTGGAAGGGCCCCAAATTCTCTCCCTTATTAGGGGGGAGGGAGAAGTAACTAAGGCCCCTTCCAGACAGCTGAAAAAAATCCCACATTTTCTGCTTTGAACTGGAATATATGGCAGTGTGGACTCAGATATCCTAGTTCAAAGCAGATATTGTGGGATTTTCTGCCTTGATATTCTGGGTTATATGGCTGTGTGGAAGGGCCCAAAGAGGGAAAGAACGAGGGCCCTTCCACACAGCCCTATGTCCCAGAATAACAAGGCAGAAAATCCCACAATATCTACTTTGAACTGGGATATATCCCAGTTGAAAGCAGATAATGTGGGACTTTATTCAGCTGTGTGGAAAGAGCCTAAGAGGTAAAGAATGAGAGAAGTTAGGAGTGGGGAACCCTCTCTCCCAAAACAGCGGGTCAGCCGGGGCGAAACCACTTGCCCCCTTGAATGGGGGGAGGAAACGTAACCAAGAGGGAGAGAACGAGTTGGGACCAGGGAAATATCTCCCAGACCAGGTAGGGGCGAAACCATTTCTGCCTCTTAATTAGGGGGGCGAGATAACCAAGAGGGAAAGAATTAGGAGAAGTTGGAAGCGGGAAAAGCTCCCTCCCATGCAAGCCAGTAGTCAGGTAAGGGAGAAACCATTTGTCCCTTTTAAGAGGGGGCGACATTGTGAAGTTGGAGGGCCACTGGTCAGCAAGGGCGAAACCATTTCTTCATGGGGGGGGGGAGAGAAAGGCTACCTGCGAGACCCTCTCCGCACAAGGCGCACAGAGCCAACAAGAAGGGTCACTGGAGCTGCAATAGCCAGGAAAGCAAAAGTCCCCGTCCCAGGCCGGCCTCCCCTTTCCTCCTCCTTCTCTACAACATTAAAATAATGCGGGAGGAAACTCATTTCTCCGCAACAGGACGCTTTTTCTCTTTCTCCTCCTCCTCCACACACGCCGCCTCCAGAGCGAAAGGGAGGCTGCTTACCGGCAAGGCGCTCTCTCCGGCCGGCTTCCTCGGCCTCGTCCACTCTCCTCTCCGAAAGGGAACGCACCCACGCGCTCTCAAGCCACCGCCGCCTCCTAGTCCTTGTGGGGGGCTCCGCTTCGCCTCACAGCCCCATTGAAAAAGGCTCAGGGAAAGCTCCCGCCAGCTCGCCAGCCAGCCAGCAAGCAACAGCACGCGCGCGCGTGGCGCTCTCTGCCGCTTGCGGAGCGCGCGGCCGCGACCCTCTCTCTCTCTCTTGCTTTCCTTTTGGCGCGCGCGCGAGGGAGTCAAGGCTAGACTGACTCCTCCTCCTGCTGCTGCTGCTACTCTACGGCGGGGACGCGCCTGCTGGCGGGGGCGCGCACAGAGAGCGAGGGAAGGAGGGCAGGCAAAGCTCCTCCTCCTCCTTCTCCACTAAACCCCCGCCTCTTCTTTTCCATTTCCTTCCTTGAAGAAAGAAAGACAGACAGACAGACAGAAAGTAGCCCCTCGTTCAACTCAGCGTGGATATCTTTTAGGAGCTGCGAGTTGTAGGAAAGCAGGCCCGCACATCTTGTTGATTTCACACACACACACATAGGAACGCCTCCTTTCTTCGTGTAACGTGTGAAACATTAACGTGTGTGTGTGAAAGGCGTACAAGGAAGAACTTCCTGACTAAGAGCTGTTCAACGGTGGAACTCTCTGCCCTGGTGTGGTGGAGGCTCCTTCTTTGGAGGCTTTTAAGCAGAGGCTGGGTGGCCATCTGTCGGGGACGCTTTGCGATTTTCCTGATTCTTGGCAGGGGATTGGACTGGATGGCCCACGAGGTCTCTTCCAACTCTAGGATTCTAAATAAATTCCATCATCCACATGTGCTCGCTCACCCATCACTGAGAAATATCCTTTTTAAAAAGACCTGATGGGAGTTTTAATATAAGGTCTGAAAGGTCACAGTTTGCCTAGTTTACACACACAGAAGTAATAGAGTCTTTTCGAGGTTTTTTAAGCAGAGGCTGGCTGGCGATCTACTGGGAGTGCTTCGATTGTGTCCCAAAGTCGCAAAGGGTCTGATGCTTTGATAACTTTGGGAAGGGGGATGGAAAGGATTGTACACATAATGTAATGTAATTTTTATTTCCTGTATAAAACTGTACTAAAAGGTTGGTGGTTCGAATCCGGGGAGCAGGGTGAATATGTCTGAATGTATTGTTCTATTCAGGCATTGAATGTTTGTCTTTTTATTCATTGGAATCCATCCTAAGTCTCCTCAGGTGGAATATAAATAAGGTATATGTTAACCCCAGCTTCTGCCAACCTAGCAGTTCAAAAACATGCAAATGTGAGTAGATCAATAGGTACCGCTTTGGCGTGAAGGTAGTGGTATTCCATGTAGTCATGCCAGCCACATGACCTTGGAGGCATATACGGACAATGCCATTTTGTTATTACAATTTATATGTGTATCCGCGTCTCTTAAAAGAGGTTGGCTTAACACCCAGTTTACTAGTGGAATTGAATTATTGTGTCATGAAATTATGCAGGTCTAAAAAGTATGCCACCAACATTGGAAAGCTCTGCTGTAAATAATAATAATAATAATAATAATAATAATAATAATAATTTATTTATATTCCGCCTGAGGAGACTTAGGATGGATTCCAACAAATAAAAAGACAAACATTCAATGCCTTAATAGAACAATAAATGCAAACATAATAACACAATAAGAGCAAATTATAACATGACAACTAAAATTAAATAACATAACTTATCAAGTAAAATATATCTAACATAAAACATCTATCTATCCACATAAAGTAAAAAATGTGTAAATGTGGCGGAGGTTTCCACTTACATGAACGGTCTCCTGCCTCCACAAACGGGCTTTAGTTCTAAGTGCCGAGAAGCCTCCAAAGGCACTCCCTTAACTGACATTGCAGGTTATAGTGAGTGCCATGAATATTTAGCCCAACCCCTGTCAGTGTCCTCCCCAAACACCCAAGGAATACTTTCATTCAGGGGCCATTTCATCCTAGATGTTCTGTTTTCTCTCCAAAATGGGCACCCCAAGGTTCCTTTCTCTCTCCAAATTTGCATGACCCCACTCACTGCCTCTCACTTAACTCTTTCCTACCCATTCCTGTGGCACATAGCAAACAGGAATTGATCAGCAACTGTACAAGAGGTTTGGGAAGAATTTGCCATGATTTAGAGGAGTTGTAGTTCACCAGAGAGCATCATGAACCCAACCTACAATGAATCTTGACCGCACTTGCCACAAAATGACCCACATGGCAGTTGTAGTTCACCCTGCATCCAGAGATATTACGAAACTTCCCAAAACAAACAATGCCTTTCTCAAGTAACCCGGGCATTGCCAGGTCCCCAAGCTAGTAACACATAAAACATTAACATCAAAGGCTGAGAGAGTGTAACTTGCCCAAGGCCACTCAGCAGCTTTCATGGCCAAGCAGGGACTAGGGCCCTGCTGGAGTCATAGTTCAGCATCAAAACACTACCACGCTTGCTCCCTTTTGGTACTTAGAAACTTTAAGACGCACTCCTCAGACCCACAAAAAACCACATGGAAGCAAACTCTATTCATTCAAAGGTTATTTCTCTGCAATAGATTGCCATCAACTCATAATTTGCTTGAGCGAGTTTCAAAAGATCTGCACATACTAAATGAACAGTGTGGAATTTTTTTTAAGGCTGTCTGATACATGATCTTACAACAAGCGAAGTCAGTGGGCTGGTGACTTTACATGAATAATGAATAAGAAATCTGAAGCCTTGTTTCTCCATAAGTGATGTCTGTAAATAAATGGCTAGGAAACATTTGTATAAGAAAAGGAAACAAACACTTCCAGTATAGTTACGTTTCCTGTTCCTATGCCCACTGATCAGTTTGAATGCATTTTTGGACACAATGAAGGCTGCCTCATGCCTGTATGCTTCTGCTAAAAGATAAATAGGTGTTTGCTTTTAGTTTTTGACCAACAGTGAAGGATTGTGTTTGTACTTTTGTTCCTAACATATGTTTTCTTTGCATAACATATCCTGCTTAACTGCCACCTGAAGAGAAATTGTAAAGCACACAGGAAGAAATTTGAGTAAGAAAATTAGCATACCTTTATTCTACAAACAGTTATGTATTTTTAAACAAAGCATTCAATAATGTGATCGTACACATGTTTAAAGTTCCAGTGTGTAGGCTTGAATGTTAGACTAAGGGTGCATGTATACTGTATAATGAATGCAGCTTGACACTACTTTACCTGTCATGCTCAAAGATATGGAAACACAGGAGTTGTAGTTTTACAAGCTCTTAGCTCTCTCTGCGAAAGAGTGCTGCTGCCCCACCAAATTACAAATCCATAGTGTTGAGCCACGGCAGTCAAAGTGGTGTCAAACTGCATTCATTCTACAATATAAATGCATACTAAGACTGGAACGGGGGTGTCAAACTGATATTTATGAGGGCTATATTGGCCTTATGGTTGCCTTCAGAGCCATTTGTACTTGTAAGACTGTATAAATATAACTGTTACCCTGACTTTGAAAGTCTCACCACATAAAATGATATGGTGGGCCAGATTCATCCCTCTGGTCTTATGTTTAACATATGCACTCAGGAAGAACAAATCTGCACTCATGGAAACTTACGTGTTGATACAGTCTCTCAGCTTCAGAATGGCAGTCCCAGTCTGAACACACCTTGCCAGGAAAGCCCTGTGATAGTTTTGCCTTAGGCTCACCATAAACTTGAAAACACTTGAAGACACACAACAACACCAACAACAATAATTAAAGGCTTCAATCTAAATAACTGATTCTTCAGGGAGGACTAAACCACAGTTTATTGAGAAATAGGACTTCCATTCATCCAGATGGGCAAACTTTGTCCCTCCAGCTGTTTTGGACTTCAACTCCCACAATTCCTAACAGCCAGTAGGAATTGAAGTCCAAAACACCCGGAGGGCTGAAGTTTGCCCATGCCTGATCTAGACTGAGTCTCCAGTTTATTCATGGGCATGCAGTCCCTCACTGTACCAGAAGGACTCCACAACCACCTGAGCCAATATTGTATTGATGGCTGTATTATCTCTGCCAAGAGATAAATCCTGAGATGTAGTTAATGGGCACAGCTATGCAAGAGTTGGAAGAGATCTCATGGGTCATCCAGTCCAACCCCCTGCCAAGAACCAGGATAATCACATTCAAAGCACCCCCGACAGATGGCCACCCAGCCTCTGCTTAAAAGCCTTCAAAGAAGGAGCCTCCACCACACTCAGGGCAGAGAGTCCCACTGCTGAACAGCGCTCACAGTCAGGAAGTTCTTCCTAATGTTTAGGTGGAATCTCCTTTCCTGTAGTTTGAAGCCATTGTTCTGTGTCCTAGTCTCTAGGGCAGCAGAAAACAAGGCTGCTCTCTCCTCCCTAAGACGTCCCCTCACATATTTATACATGGCCATCACGTCTCCTCTCAGCCTTCTCTTCTGCAGGCTAAACATGCCCAGCTCTTTAAGGAGCTAAAAGAGCTATGCAGGAAAAAGACTACCTGGTAGGATCCTTTTTCCTGTATTGCTTCACCAGTCTCTAATGAGCAACTAGTCACAGGATGTATTTGTCATAGCTGCTATGTGTGATTCATTCTCATCACCAAATTCCACCACAGGTAGGCAAACACAGAAAGAGGAGGACAAAGATATAAGAAGGGGTGCTGTTACTCCAGAATATTTGTATGTATGTACCATATGATTTCACATGGGTCCCTTGCAATTTTCAGAGGCTGATGGGGCTTATTTCTTGTACCGCATGCAACATCTCTGGTAACTCTCACATGTTGGCTTGCCAAGCTGTCACATGGGTCACTTATGTAGTCAGGGAAACCCTTAATTAGGACACCAAAGTGATTATTGTGATGACATTGGAATCATGTGTTACTGTAATGATTAGACTCAGATAATTAGCACCTGTAATTCTAATTGTTTTGGTAGTTTTCTGTGGCCATCATATCATTCTCTATGACACATGACCCTCATGCTGTAATCTGAGGCGTACTTACTGGGCAACAAATAAGCATCACTAAAACCAGTACAATTTTCCAAGGCTCAGCTGCTTCTCACAGTAGCTAGTTTTAATTGACTCACAACTTTAGATAGTGCGCCATCTTTTCTTTGGAGAAGACCATGCTTTAGTCATTTAGATGAGTGTAACACTCTATGCTTGGGGTTGTCCTTAGATGGTG